GGCATGGAGTGCCAGAGTGTCGAGTAATTGTCGCAGATAATTGATTAGTTGCAGGGCAACTAATAGATGGGGTTTACTTGGAGACTAGAGCAAGAAATCTACAGAAAATTGTTAAAAATATTAACAAAAAAATAATAATAATTAATCTACAACATTTTTAAAGGTTTTATTCCAAAGAATCGGATGGGAATTGATAAAGATATATGTAGATGTCTCTAGGGGGCTATATTCTTACTTTCTTGCATTCTTTGAATTTTCAAAAAGGTTCGTTTAGCAAAAAGTATCTCAAAATTATTCCAAAAATATTGGTTTTTTAGATTTGAACCAAGATTTGTAGAAAATCTATCTTTTCTATCTATTTAATCTATCAAATCTTTTAAGTCATTTCTCTTAAAATTCTTTTAAATTCTAGCAAAAATATAGATCTTCTCTCGGGGTCTCATATTTCAAGTATTTTCAGAATTTTTAAAGAAAGTGCTTACTTGAAAGTGACTCTTTAATGCCACCGAAAATTAAAAGAAAATATTTTTAAAATTTGTTTTTCTAGATTTTGTTAGAAACGTCAATACAATATTGATTTAGGAATCGTTTGATATACTCTTCTTAAGAATCGGATAGTTATAGACAAAGATGTAGTCATTGCTGTGGAACATATGATAATTTTTCCTTTTTCAAAATAAACCCCATCAAGTTACCTAAAAGTATTCCCTAAAATTTGATTGGAAAACTGCAATCTTGCAACTAGATATGGCAACTAGCTCCTCCGCTGTGTGCTTGGATTTATGTCCTTTTTGTCGCAGAAACTATCACCATATCTCGCTTGTTTTCCCAGTGGACAATGCAAAAATTGTATTTATTATCACAAAGCGGAATAAACAGAAACGGGAAAAAGCTGAACAAAAAAAAATCAGAAAAAATATATATACATATATATATATATAGTATATGTATGGATATGGAAAGGCGAGAGAAACAGAAACAGAAACTGAATTTAATAAAAGGAAAACTTTTTGCAGCTGCTGCTGTTGTTGATTGCAAATGAAATGAATATTATTTGATTGAATAACAAGAGCGTCGGGCAAAAAATAATTGCTGGCAATCTTTGTTATGCGTTGCTTTTAAATCCAAATTAAATTAAACAATCAAACGGGCACACACAAGCCCACACAGGCACACAGTCACACTGGCGCACAGGTCCGAACATGACTACAAACTGCCATTTTGAGTTACAAAATGCGCTCCACTTAAAAGTATGCAATGGTTTTTTTTTTCCTTCTTCTTCTCATATTGCGTGTGCACAACGTTCGTCGTGTGTCATGGTGGGTATAGGGGGGGTGGCAGGGAGCTCCTGTGGCCGGTCAGCGGCAATAATAATGGCTACAATATACGGCCAAGAGTGAAGTGGAGTGGCCAAAAGCCGCTGGAGTGGCTGCCAAATGTATGCACAGGAAGCATTTGTAATGCCCCGCTAGCGACGCGCGGAAGTTGGTTATCCCTCTCTCTCTATCTATCTATCTCTCTCTCTCTCTCTCTGTGTCTGTTGTCCTTCCTTTGGCTGTCTCTGTTGCACTTGTTGGGCCAACTTTAGCCCAGCTGTGCTTCCACTTTGGCGTCTCCTTCTGGTCAAGCCACTGATTTGAATGTTGGCGCCACGAATACAGAGTTACCAGGGGTGTTAAATATTTAAAAAATATTTATTAAAATATTTTTAAGATTTAAGGACTAATATTTAATATGTGAGCTATTTTTTTAACTCAAAATTAAGGCTAGTTAGGCTCTATTTGTAATTTTAAAATATTAATCCAACCTCCCATTAGTTGAAAACATCCATTCTGCCTCTAAATCCAGGGTATCCTCTCCCTTGGAGGCAACAAAACGTTGCGTGTATGTGTTGGATTTGTTGCCAGTGGCATGCCTGGCAGGGGGGCTGCTCCCCGGGTGGAGGTGGAGGTGGAGGAGGAAGCGGCCTTTGGCAGACTGTTTATGGTTTTTGGCTACAACTTAATTTAAATTGTTTAATTCTATTATTGTTGCTAATAAATCACAGGCACAGCTTGCGCTGCTAGCTGGCTGGCTTAGCATTTGCTAAGCTTACACAAACACACAGATACTCCGCACACAGATACTCCACACACAGATACTCACTACTATACATGCAGGCCATGTACATTTGTCTTGTGGGCCAGGCCAGAACCGACCCGCAAGTCTAACCAATCTCCGTGTCTATTTTGCTGAGCACCCGGGGGCGCCATTCATTGTTTTTGGATGCTATACGGATTCTAGATTCTAGATTCTGGAAGGGATTCCCTTTTCCTATAAATTACACCGATCGGCCAGCACATTTTTAAATCTCTGAAAACTTTCGGGATTATAATGCCGCCATCGGCGTCGCACTTGCACTTCATTCGATTGCCCAAAAAAGGGAAAATATTTCAATGGTCAACCAAAAAAAAAAAAAAAAATAGGAAAGAAAAGCCGCACACAACAACCGCATGTCAAATGCAGGCCAGATCGCTGATGGGCGATGGGGGCGTGGCATACGCTTGACCGCTTGACATGGCCATAAATAACAAAGCCAAAATGGCGGCCAAAACGAAAAAGCGAAAAACCCAAAGCAGGCCAAAAGCCCAAAACCCAAAACCAAACCAAACCAAAAAAAAATGCGTTTTTGCGTTGGAAGCCAAGAGATGCGAATAGAGCCAAATGTGATATGTCAAATGCACGCGAATATCCCACTGACGATGAGTTCGGTACAATGACAATGAATCTGAATCTGAATCGGAATCCGAATCTGGACCTGAGCCCGGATCCATAGCCGGAGACAGAGTCCGGTTACGGGTCCGGGTCTGGGTTGGTATAAAAATAAGCATGCTGATGGCCCAGATAAATCCTGGTAGCATTCCAACAAAAAAAAAAGAGTTAAACAGCTTTTGGCGCAACTGTACGCTTCAATTGCAGATTAAAAATGGAAAAGCTAATGACATGACATCCAAAAAAAACTGGGGTTTTTAACTTTCAAAGAGGAAACAGACTTCAAAACAGGGCTTTAGTTGCAGAGCTAATGGGAAAACCCCATTTTCAGGGAACCCGACAGAAAAAAAGGACAAAAAATCTAAAAAATATTTTGTCTCCGGATTTTGATGCAGAATGGTGGAGAATCGATCTAGAAATCGTTTAAGGTACTCCGCTTGAGAATCGGATGAGAATTGGTGAAGATATGGCCATCGAGGTGGGCCCTATAGGGAAAAACCCCATTTTCAAGGGATCCCATCAGGAAAAATGGACAAAAAATCGAAAAAATATTTTGCGTCAGGATTTTGATGCAGAATGGTGGCGAATCGATCCAGAAATCGTTTAAGGTACTCCGCTTGAGAATCGAATTAGGATTGAGGAAGATATAGCCATCCCTGTGGACCCTACAAGGGAAATCACCATTTTCAGTATTGGCTTACAGATCTTTAAACAAAAATACTCCAAATAATGACTCCAAAAAATATCGATATCTTGATGGTTACTTCTTGTTTCTATAGATATTGTGTGGTTTTTGTTATTTAGCTAAATATTTAAGCTAAAACATGTTAAAACATAACTGGTTTAAAATTAAATATTAAATTTCTAAAGTTAAGCTTTAGACTTCATTTGAATGAAGTCATTTGAATTTAAATTATAAATATAGTTTTGTATGGTTGTGTACAAGTTTCCTTCGCTATTAGAGACTTTTGGATTAATTTTTAAACTCTATAATATTTTCTATAATTTTAAAATGAATACTTACCTTTCTTAACAATAAATACTATATTTTAAAGACATCCTTATACCTTTTATTTTATTTAAATTTTAATTATGACTATTTTTTGATGAAAGTTTCTGTAAATTGTTGAATATTCGGATAAAAAGGACAAAGAAATGTTTTCGAGCTGTAATTTGTGTTGCATACTTGCGGGCGGCGCCTGAAAATGGCATCCGCAAAGTGGAAAACGGGAGCGAGCGCGCGCTCGGGAAATGCTCTCCGCATTCTGGATTCTGGGTACTGGGTGCTGCATTCTGCACTTTCCTCCAACAACAATGGCAGTTATCGAGTCGCTGGCAGCAGCGAGGACTGCATTTCCGCTTAATGTTGAGCGATAATAAAACACAAACACAAACAGCAACACAAAAATCCAACAGTCCGGTCCGGGGATAATGAAAACCTACCGAATACAATACAGACACCCAGTCTCTGCTCACATATGCATTGATTTATGTTTTTTAATTTAAAATTTCCGCATCACTTAACCGTTAAAAATAATAATAATAACAATAACAGCGGGCAGAAGCCATCCAGTCAGCCAGCCATCCAGGCAGCTATCCAGTCAGCCGCCTTTTGTCCGCGAGGATGGGATTTAAATATTGTAACGAAAAAGCGACGGGGCCAATGTAGAGCGAAAACTTTTGCACATGTTTTAATTTCCGCATTACAAGCACTGCCAAAGCACTGAAAAAAATAATTAGGGGTATTAGGAATTTATCAAAAAATTATTATTTTTTTAAAAGGATGAGAAGAAAAGCTTTAAAAGGGATATCCCTGCTTATATCTTTGCATTTTGGCTTTTATTTAATTTTAATTTATTATCTTTTTTAATCTTAATTATTTTTCTTAAAATGTATCTTTAATATTTCATACATTTCCTTCGATTTATTGCCTCTTTTTGTGTTAATCTTTATTACTTCCTTTGTAGCTACTAAGAGGCCATAAATTATAGATAGTTTTTAAAAGATATCTATAATATTGAACCCTATAGGAAGGGTTTTCAAGACACAAGACTTCACTTTAAAGTCTTAAACTTGGTATATTCTATGAAATAATAATGTAAGATCTGAATAATATATTCCCCACCATACCTTATACATATATAGAGCCTTTGAAATATTTTTAAAATATTTTCCCATGTGCAGCTATGCTTTTTCTTCCCTCTGACTGACCACAACTTTCTTTCTTTTCTTCTTTTCTTCCGCAACAGGCTCGGCGGCCACCCCCAACAGATGCCCCAAAGTATGTCAACTGGCAGCAACACAATCGGCCATGGCGGCATCGATCGCGGAGGCGTCGGCCTGCCCATGGGCGCTGGCACAATGCCGGGAGGCGTAGGCGGAGGACCGCCAGTGGGCGGAGGGCCGCAAGTTGGACCGCCGGGAGGCGTTGGCGGCGGCAACGGTGGCAACTGCCAGATAAGCGGCTCCCAGCCGCTGGTAATGCCCGGATTCCCGTTGCGTAATTCGCACTCGGCCCACGCACCGCACTATTCGCCATATTCGCCATCCAGGTGAGTTTTTCATACTATATATAGCTATAGCTGCCGATAACTGGGGCTCCTTGACCCGCCATAGCCGCGGGCTGAATGGGTGAATGGGCGTTAAATTGCCTGCGAACCGGCAGGGAACTGGCAGCGGGTTGACTTCCACTCAACTGATTTTCTGTTTCGGCTTCAAAGAGGATTTCGAGCGTTGGATGTAAAAAGTGTATATATTTATATATAGCAGCGTGTGTGTAGTTTTTCAGATGGCTTGTCTTTGGTTGAGACTGCTTTTTGGGGGTGTATGTGGAGAGGGAAGGGGATTTTAGGGTTTGAGAGAGAAAACCTCACTATCTAATACCCGGTACTATGGTTTAAAGTCTAAGGAATAGAAACTATAGTTTTTAACTATGTAATAGCCGGTACTTTAAGAGCTGAGCGATATATTGTACTATATACATATATTCTTTACTTCATAATACGGGATACTATCGGCTAACCTCTAATAAGTACCGGGTATGAATACTATTCCGATACATTTTGTTTCCAAGACATGTTTTTTTCCTGCTTTGTAATATTTTTTATTTATTTCCAAGGAGAAAGGCCTCCAAAGGGTTCCTATACCAGAAGATAGAAGAAACTCCATTTCTTAACTATATGATACCCAATACTATCGCTTAAACCCCACAAGTACCGGGTGTATACATTTTCTATTATATCTAATAGAAAATTATCCTTTCTAATCCAATTATATCTTTCTATTATATCTATCCTATACTATCTCCTAACCCCTACAAGTACCGGGTATGAATACACTTCAGAGTACAAGCCTCATTCCAACTTTATACTCAAACCGACAGCCCTCTTTCACTTTCAATCTTGGCTTGGCGCTTTGCTTTTCTTCTGCCACAAAATATCTTGAAGCTTGAAGGATTTCCTAGTTAGTCCTGAGACTCCTTTAAGAGCTCTCTCCCCGCAGGGCTTTTGCTTTTCGCCGAAACTTCAGAGTTGAATCACCTTTGAAGGCTTCTGCTCGAAGGCTCCTGCTCCCTTCATGCCGCCTTGGCTCGGACACTTTCGAGTCTAACCCAATTCTGGCCAAGTTTCGAAAGTTGCCAACTCAAGAATTGTTAATTCTCTTTAAGCCACGGGTCTACCTCCCTTCCTTACCTCCCCCGAATCTTCTCCTCGAGCTCGTCCTCCTTTGTAGCATTTCGTTCAACTTTTACGCAATTAGAGGCGACCACGCCGAAAGACTTGACAGCCCGGCCTGCGGCGGCTTAGACTTGTTGGCTGTATGTGTGATTAACACCCTTTTTCGGGGGCAGGGCTCCTTTGTGGGAGGGAGGAGTGCTCCAGTAACAGTCCTGGTCTTTGTCCTGGTCTTGTGCATCATTTTGCATGCGTTGCCATTTTCGGTCGGGGGCTTTATTAAAAAAGTTGCCAGCTGTTGTCAGCAGTTGACAAACTCATTGGCGTACACTGAGAGTTCTTTTGAGGCTATACGTTCTATAAAGAATTGTTAGAAGGAAGCTCTGACATAATTTCTCTGAGTGCATAGTCCCTGGGTATGTGTTTCTGTTTGGCTGGCTGGTTTTTGTGGTCCTTGTGATATGTCAAGCATCTAAAGCCGCAGGACACAGGGATTCACCAGCAGACCTCTCTTTCTCTTTCTCATTCTCTGTTAATTACAAATGCATTTCTCTATATACACATAGCATCTATATATATATATAATTAAATGTTTGCACCATAAGTTTTCAATAAAAAAAATTATCTTTATTTTTCTTATGTCCAACTGGTTACAAATATTCTTTATTTGAAGAACACCAACCTACTACTTGTAGATCTTAAACTGAACTTCACTCCTAACTCTGACTTCTTTTACGATCAAACCTCGGTTTTGGAGCTTTCGAGCTTTACTTGAGTGTGTTTATTCTAATTGAGTGTGTTTTATTGTTTAGGCTGAGAACTTTCCCGATTGGACTTTGGATTCTTGCTTTTGAATTTGTTTTTGTCTTTGGTCCCGAAATTTGAGTTTTACGATTGGGTTTGGGGATCTGAATTATGGGAACGTGCTGAATGCATGTTTCCCTCGGTCTGTTTAGTCTGAGGATTTTTGTTTATAAGTACTTTTCCATCCTCAATTATGTTTAGGTCTGATTTGGGCTAGGATCATGTTCGGTGCATTTGCCTATTTGAATCTAAGTCTCAAGGGTAAGTTCTGACAAATACTTAATGTGTATGTGTGAGTGTGTGGGTGTGTGGACATTTACATAGTTTATGTATAATGCTATGGATATGTCACTCCCCCAACCTTTGAATTTGGCCTGTCCTCAGGTCGATAGATTTGGGTATAACATGAGATGCTCTCCTATGTTCATATTAGGTTGATCGTTTACAATTTCTGGAATCTTTGGTGTTTCTTCCTTTGGTTTTACATATTTTACAATTAGTTTCTTCGGTAAACTTTTGAACTTATAGAATAGATACAAAGATAAACTTATAATTGTAATTATAAAAGTAGTTGTTGTTATTATTTGGAATACATTATAATATTTTGTGTGTGTTTTTATAATTTCTTTTGTTTGGATATATGCTAGCGGTTCTAGTTTTGTTACATTATTACTGACATAAACTGTTTGGGTGTAATCTGCCATTGTATTTGAAAGGATAAATTCATTCAATTGAACCGAACAATTAAGGATTTTGATAAGGTTACTTCCGCTTATAGAAATTTCTTTATTAATGCAATTTTGATTTAAAAATGTTTTAGGGATGTTCCATGTCAATAAAATATTTGGTTCAATATAATCAATTTGAAAATTTTTATGAGTTTTAGTGTATTTACAACCTGTATTTTCTTGTTTAATTATTCCATTTATACATTCGTCAAATACAATCTTTCCTGTTTCTTTATCAAATACTTTTTCATCATGTAGGAAATACTTATTGATCGTGTTCTCTGTTAGTATGTTATTGTCTTCATCTGGGTAGGGAATAATTTCGAAAACAGGGGCTTTAAATATTTCGGTAGGAATGTGGGACATAATCAGAATTTCATTTGTATTAGTTTTGAGCCAAGTGGAAGTTTTGATTTTAAGCAATTTCTCGGAATTCACCTGTTTTAAATTATCATGTTTTAAAAGTTTGGGGTTAAAAATTCCAAGTCTAGTTAGTTGCATTCCTAACTCAATGTCTTCTATGTATTCTGTGAAGTGTTGTAGATTAAATATTAGGACGTTAGCCTGTTGCTCTTTCTCTTCCTCGTCTCTAAATTTGTTGATTAAATCTAATCCATTGTTTACGACATCAATAATCTTATTCAAATCATTACTTTGAATACTATTCTCAGTTAGTGTATCGATTTTCTGTTCTAACTCTTCTTTATCATCCTGATCCAATGTTCCAAATAAGTATTTGTAAGTTGTTCCTACAATGTTTAGCAACCCTCTTTTGCTACGTTTTGCGATTTTAATACCATTAATTTCTCGTTGAAGTTTTCCCACTAAATATTCTATCTGCAATGTTCCTTTGAATTCACATGCTTCTTCTACTAATTTCTCAAAGATTTGTTCTGTTTTCGTAATATTTATGCTTATAAAGTGATTCTCATAATTAGTTGGAATGTCTATCGTGCCTGTTTTAAACATTAAGTATCCATTTTGGGCTTTTATCGGATTTATTTCGATGTTTTGTCCATTCGTCATTTGAATTGAAGTAGTTAATATAATCATAAACATAATAATTTTATAGAGGTTGTTGAATCCATTAGGTTTCTTCTGTTTGTCTGGAATTGTTATATTTACTTTTATTAATTATTTTTTTCTTTTTAAATTTAGATTTATAATGAGTAATTTTCCTGCCTCTATTGGTTTCTTCAAAATGTTTCTCATCAACTTGTCTGATATTTCCTGTCTTTTTAAACGGGTTAGTTGTTTTTGATTTTACTAACGGAGATTGCTTATATTTGGTATCTATTTCATAATCATGTCTGTCTTTATTTAGTTGATTAATCTTATTGATTTTCTTATCCTGTGTATCATAATCGGGTGTTCCTGCATACATGAAAATATCGGCTGGTACTCTGTTTGTAGCATTATGTTTTGTTTTGTGATTATAAATGTAAAGTATTAACTCGAATTTAGTGTACCTATTTTCAATATTTGTCTCACTTCCAATGATTCGTAGTTTTTCATTAACTGTCTTATGGAATCTTTCTACGTCTGATATACCATTCTTACTTGTTGTTACCTGAATTTTTACTCCTTCCGAATCTAACCAGTTGTGTAAAGCTACACACATAAATGCTGAATCCTTATCTACTTTAATTTCTTGTGGTTTTCCCATTTCATTAAATACTTTCATTATTGCTCTTTTCGCTTCTAGCCAATCTTTACTTGTTATTTCTACTAATGAAGCAAATTTTGAATACACGTCAATACAAGATAAAAACTGTTGATTACCTACTATATAAAAATCCATTACGTATTTTTCACGGATGTTTTGTATTTCTGGGGTGGTTTCGAAAGAAAGTTTTGTGTTTCTATGTTCTGTTTTAGATATGTTACAAATTTCGCACTCGTTAATAATGTTCTGGATTAAGTTTTGATGGTCAGGGAAATAGTATTTTTCTTTGAACCAATTAATTGTTTTTTCTATTCCTGGATGTAATAGTTCTTTATGTCTTCCCAATATTTTCTCCTTGAATTCTGCGTATGTCAAGATATCTTCTAATTTAGTTGTGCATCTTACTAATTTTGTTAAATGATTAGAATTGATTATTTCTACGAAAACTTTCTGGAATGTTGGGAAATCTGAGTCATTGTGCATGTAAATAGCGCTTTTCTTTGTACATAAATATTCTTTAATTATTTCTTTTGCCAGGTCTTCAGTCATTTCTTTATAAGTTATTTTGATTTTGATTTTATGAAAATAATGCTGTACGTTCGTTTGGTCTTCATTTCCTTTTATTAATTCGATTTGTCTAGGGAAATAATTGAATGGTCGTTCCGTTATTGGTATGTAATTTTGGTTGTCTTCCTGTGCACTATGTACGGTTGCGCCTACACTTTCGGCTACTTCTCCTAACATATTTTCTTCTATTTTGGTTCGGGATAAAGCGTCCGCTACATAATTTTCTTTTCCGGGTAAATATTTAATTTCGTAATCAAATTCATTTAATTTTATTTTCCATCTCTGTAACTTCATGTTTGGTTCTTTGATATTATTCAGCCAAACAAGAGGTTTATGATCACTGAGTATTTCAAAACGTCTTCCGAATAAGTAAGATCTGAAATATTTCGTTGCCCAAACGATCGCTAACAATTCTTTTTCTATCGTGGCATAATTGATTTCATGTTCGTTTAAAGTTCTGCTTGCATAACATACGGGTTTATGGTTTTGTGATAACACTGCACCGATTGCTATATTACTTGCATCAGTTGTTAAAGAAAATGTTTTACTGAAATCAGGATAAATAAGTATTGGATCTGAAGTAATAAGTACTTTTAATTTTTCGAATGCTTCTATGTAATTTTTACACTTTATATCAATTACTGCTCCTTTTTTTAATTTAACTGTCATTGGTTTTACAATATTAGCGAAATTAGGAATGAATTTGCGATAGAAGCCGCATAGTCCTAAAAATGATTTTATTTGTTTTGGGGTCTTAGGTATTGGAAAGTTAGTTATAGCATTGGTTTTATTAGGATTAGGTTTGATACCACTTGTAGTTACGATATGACCTAAAAATTCTGTTTCCTTTTTCATGAATTCACATTTATCCAATTGTAATTTCAAATTGGCATTCCTTAATTTTCCAAAAACTTTCTTAAGAGACAAAATATGTTCTTCCAATGAAGTGGAGAAAATAATGATGTCATCCAGGTATACTAAACAATCTTTATAGATTAAATCTTCTAAGAGATTGTTCATACATCTTTGGAAAGTTGCAGGGGCGTTTTTAAGACCAAATGGCATACGGGTATATTCATAATGCCCATGTTTAGTTGAAAATGCAGTTTTTGCTATGGAATTTTCATCCATTTGAATTTGGTGGAAGCCTTTGGCTAAATCGAGTGTTGTAAAATATTGGCATTTTCCTAATTTGTCTAGAATTTCATCCATTCTAGGGATCGGAAATTTATCGTTTATTGTGATTTCATTTAAACTCCTATAATCTATTACTAATCTGAATTTTTCTTTCCTGAAGCATCGCTTTTCTTTGGGACTATCCAGATTGGTGAACAATAAGGAGATTTCGACTTTCGAATTATTCCTTGTTTAATCATCTCAGTAATTTGTGTATTAACTTCTTCGTCAAAAGCTTGCGCATATTTGTATGGCTTTTTATATATCGGGTCTTCGTGTTTTGTTTGTATTGAATGTTTTATTGTACTAGTAAAAGTCAAATTTTCACCTTCCTTGTACTGAATATCTTTGAATTCAAACAAAACCCTTTTTAAATCTTTCTTTTCCTCTTCATTTAAATGTTCGAGACGAAATTCGTTGCATTCTCTAAGTTCGTTGTTTATGGAAAAATTAAATGAGTCATCTTCTGATAGAGGTGGATTAAGGCAATCTTGTGCGGTCTCATCCTTTTCCTCTTTCTTTTCGATTGACTTTGGGCTAAGGCATTTTGGTGCGGTCTTGCCCTTTTTAATTTCTTGTTCGGATGATTTTGAGCTAAGGCATTTTAGTGCGGTCTTGCCCTCTTTATCATCTTCACCATATTCAATGAAAAGTTTTTTGTCTCCTAACGTAATTGATTCATCTTCATAATCTATCTTAGCTTTACTTTCTTTCAAAAAATCTCTGCCTATAAGTATGTCATAATTCTCTGAGAATTTGTGTAAGAAAAATTTTTGTTTTACTGGGCAAATTTTACTGGGATTTAATGTAATGCTTTTAAGTAAGTTAATTGGTCCATTTATTGTATAGACTTTCTGATTTTCGTTAGTTTCTGCAAAATTTCCTGAGTTTTCTCTCATGATGTTAATGGAAGATCCTGTATCGATCATTGCTTTGAGAGTTTTACCTTTGACTACTACTCTGATATAAGGATACTGTTTTCGTTTTCCGAGGCTATTTGCTGAAAATTTACGTCCATTCTACTTTGGGCGCTTTCACTTTCTCTCTGTCTCTTAACAGGTGCATTTGGAGAATTATTAGAAGTTGATGCCTGATAATTCATGGGGTTCTGAGCTCTACCTTGATTTAAATTCCTTCTGAGTTCATGATAGTTGCCTTGGTTTTGGTTTCTGGCAGGTGAATTCGGAATATTTGTTGGATTGCTTGATCCTGGATTATAATTCAAATAATTATTTGAGTTATGTCGGGGATAATGATTTGAATTATTTCTCGAGTAATTTTGATTCTGTCTTGAATTACCCAAATTCCTACGTTGATCATAATACCTGGTTTTATAATTATCGTATGGATCTGAATCCCAATGGCCTAGAGTCATGGCTGCCTCTTTTAAGTTAGTAATAGTTGTAATATCTCTTTTCGATAGTGAATTATACAATCTGTCCGGAAGTTTCTTTTCAATGCAATCCCTGATTGTTTTGTTCAATGAACTTGTATAAATTGTTTTATCTGTCTGATCCATTTCTAAATCTAACTTATTTAAAACTACGGATGACCTGATTTTAAGTTCGTTTATGAACTTACTGATGCTCCCTGGGTAAGGTGTTTGATGTACGTGGCGGATGACATCTTCGTATGGCCTATGGTCCTTGAATGCTTTAATCAGGGCCAGTTTCGTCTGCATCCATGTTGTGGTTTTTTCTTCTGCGATGACTGCTTGTGCTGAGTCAATAATGGTCCTCTCGATGGCCCCGTAGATGATATGGTTTTGCCTCACATCCTGTGTTGGGTATAACTGCAACAGATACTCGACCCGTGTAATGAATCGGCTGAGCTCTATTGGGTTGCCGTCGAAATAAGGCAGTTCCTTGATTTGTCCAATCAATTGATTGAGATGGATCTCGGATAACTGTGGTGTCGCCATTTTTATCGCTTTTGAAGTTTTTGTATTGCAATATTGTCGCACGAAAATTCGTGGAGTTATTGACCGAATTGGATTTTTAATTAATTGTCTTTATATACAGTCGCACTGCACATAAATTCTTTTGCGGATTTCTTTTAGTCACTTTCGCTGATCAGGATAAACTAGTCGTATAGTATTATCCTTCTTTGTTGATCAGTACCGATAACTTGGTGTAAGGACCTTTTTAGAAATCCTACCGACTGCGCCAATTAAATGTTTGCACCATAAGTTTTCAATAAAAAAATTATCTTTATTTTTCTTATGTCCAACTGGTTACAAATATTCTTTATTTGAAGAACACCAACCTACTACTTGTAGATCTTAAACTGAACTTCACTCCTAACTCTGACTTCTTTTACGATCAAACCTCGGTTTTGGAGCTTTCGAGCTTTACTTGAGTGTGTTTATTCTAATTGAGTGTGTTTTATTGTTTAGGCTGAGAACTTTCCCGATTGGACTTTGGATTCTTGCTTTTGAATTTGTTTTTGTCTTTGGTCCCGAAATTTGAGTTTTACGATTGGGTTTGGGGATCTGAATTATGGGAACGTGCTGAATGCATGTTTCCCTCGGTCTGTTTAGTCTGAGGATTTTTGTTTATAAGTACTTTTCCATCCTCAATTATGTTTAGGTCTGATTTGGGCTAGGATCATGTTCGGTGCATTTGCCTATTTGAATCTAAGTCTCAAGGGTAAGTTCTGACAAATACTTAATGTGTATGTGTGAGTGTGTGGGTGTGTGGACATTTACATAGTTTATGTATAATGCTATGGATATGTCACTATATATATCTACTATTTTTTATTTGCAGGTTTCACATAGATAAACGCTGTCAGCACCGATGTTCCTGGAAATGCTTGAGCATCGCCTTAATACTCGTATCCGTCGTCCTAACCGCCATGTTGGCATACTTTGCAGGTAAGAATCGCACTTGAAACGCAAACGGACATTCTCATAATGCCAACACGAGAGTTAATGAAAAATACACACGCATATGTACACTGCATATACATATTAGAATATAGGTGTATGGGTGTGTGTTTGGGTATGCTGGCAAATATTCGCTCAGTGTACATAAGTGCAAACTACAAACAAGCGATAACAAGGCAAATACATCAAAGTGTTTGCTTTACATTAGCGTTAAATGGTGTTAACTTACACCCACACACTTGCACAGAGCTAAGAAACTCGACACGGAGCGTTGCCCTGGGCAAACATACACAAAAACACACACACACACGGGAGTACACTGAGAGAAATGTTAATTAATTGCCATACATGGCCATGCTTTAGAAGTCAGAACTTGTGTTCTATTGTTGGGCTTCTGAATTGGTGACTTTTGAGGAAGAAAGTTTGCTTCTAGTTTGAAAGCCTTTCTGCTTCTATTTTGTTTAAATACTTATCGATAATTTATCGATGTTTATTATATTCTTTCTTCCAAGTGGGTATCTTTTCTTTATCTTCAATAATTCTTCAAAGAAAACTCTTAAATTTTATTCTAAATACCATAATCATACATAGTGTCTTGGAAGTCACCTTTTTATGCCAATAGTTTGATAACTTACGATAGAACTCCGATAGTATTTCGATAGATTTATAAAAAAAGGTTATAAAAAATGAGGACTTATTTTGTGGACCTTCTGATTGGATGCCTTTTAGGGGAATAATCATCTATTATACTTAACAATCTTCTCTTTAGATGCCATAAGCCTAATCAGTTTTTTAAGAATCAGCTTTTTATAGAAATACTTTGATACCTTTCGATAGAATTTCAATAGATTCCTCGAAAAGTCATTTCATTCGTTTGTTTCCTTGGTGAACCCAATCTAAGTTAATAGTTCGATAACTTTCGATAAAATTATGAACTTTTCTTAATCAGTTCTCTGACCAAGTTCAGGAAGTCCTTTTGCTTGAATCTACTTTGCCCTTAAACCCTTAGACAACATCCAATTTTCTCTCAGTGCTTCACCCATACTGCACCTTCCATATTCGTGGGCTGCCTCAAAATGTTAATTGATAAATGTGGCAACCGACGGCCAGGTCGGGTATCCAGCTCAATTGACAAGCAATTAGAAACCGCAACCAGCGCCGAAGAGGCCAAAGTTCGATGGCATCAACTGGATCCAGGTCCCTGGATCGAGTGTCAGGCCTCGAATGCTAATGAAGTTCATAATTGTTCAATATGTGGCTTGCGTTCTCTTGCGTGGCTCTTCAGGGCGGCAATGATATTAGAAATGAATTAATTATCAAAACTATAAACTGATAGTTTTGTTTTTGTATTGAAATGGCTTTTTAATGTTTGGTCCTTGTTGGGGGAAAAGTTTCCATTCTGTGGTGTTTGTTTTTATTTTGTTGCCACATCCGAAGGATGCTTCTGTGGAGCCCTTTTCTCCAGCGTGCTTTCCTGTTTTTTGGTGGCTCTTCCTGGATTTTTCCTGCTGTTTTTGTTTACAACTTGATAATTAAACACGTTTTGTGCCCATTCCCGGCAGGACTTCTCCAACTCCAGCTCCCTCCAAATTATATTTACAGGTCAATTTAATTCTTTTTGCCCATTTCTCTTTTCTGCTCTGGCGAACCCAGCTCTTTGTTCTTCCAACACCCAACTCCCAACACCCACTTGCTGTTGGTGTTTTTGTTCTCTGGCTAAAAAGTTTGCACATTAAAATATGTAAATTTTAATTTGAAACAAAAGGGTTGACGGTTGGCAGCCGAGGCAGCCCCTCGCCAAATGTTGACGGCAATGGCGACGATGACGACGCCTCAACCACCTTTGCCCCATTTCCTCCTTGCAACCCTTTTCACTGGCAGGTCCTCCTGCCCCTCCTGCCTCAACTCTCCTCTGCGGTGGCCTCCGTGTGCCCTGGCATTTTATCTAGTGAAACATTGGCACAACTTTTTGGACACTTTTAGCGTCTGTGCGTCGACATCTGGGCTACCGGTTGGTTCCCCAGTCATTTTCCTTGATTTTCCAGGAGCCTTTCCTCTGCCAGCTGTCTGTTGGAGTGGGGCTGGGGCTGCCGACTTGCTTTTTTTGATAAATCTTAAAGAAACCTGGCGACCGTGACAGTTCAGAGTTTTAAATGAATGGAATTGGAGGTTTCTTAACTTTAATATGTAAGATGTTAATATTTTAAAGTCCTCACAGCCTCTACATTTTTTTTTACTTTCTCCCCCAAAAGCCAATCCATTATTTGATCTGGAAATTGAGGCCAAATAATTTTGAGGAACAGTTTGGAGGACTGACAGCTTGCGGCTTAGCCAACATCCTTGATTTTGCTCCGCCATTTGTTTGTTTGTGTTTGTGCCATCCATTCCAAATTCTAGCCACTTATTCGAGCTTCCGCTTGGCTCTACAAACCCATCCACCCACCCACCGCCTGGTATTCTCATACTTTCTCACTTTCTCTCCCTGCGTTTAATTTATTATCTACGCCGAAGAAGCAGCAGCTGTTTGGGAGTCGGAGGCACTGATTTACAGTTGGCTAAAAGCTGCGGCTTGTTGTTGTTGCGAGAGGTGTTGCGAGGGGCTGCTGTGGAGCTGAGGAGCTGTGGAGCTGCGGTGTCACAGGATTGCAAGTGAACGAAAACAAATTTACAACAAACCACGGGAAAAATATATGTGATGCCACTTGCCACTTGGCACATGCCACCCCAAGAACAGGACTCTCCGCTAGAAGCAACATCCCTCGCTTTTTTGGCGCAAAATGAATTTAAGTTGAAAAGTTGTGAACATTTTGTGGATAGCCTGACTAAGGGGGGGAGAGGACAGTGGCGTAGTGAAAAGGGGATTCGAAAATCAGATAAATAAATTAAATGGTACTTAATACCATTTTTAGTTAAAGGCTTCAATGAAGAAACCCAAAGTCCCTAAGAGGTTTTCTTTAGAAACCCCTTTCTTTTGTTAGACTACGCCCTTGACTATTTGTAGGAGGGGTTCTTAGGAAGCTGCGTGTGGATTTCACTGATTTAATTGTTGGCAGCTCCAGCTCCAGCTCCTGCTCCTGCTCCAGCACATGCTTGAAATTTATCTTTTAAAAATAATGTATTAATTTTTGTGGCACTCCCCCGGAAAAGCAGGCGGAAAACCCCCGAAAAACCGCCGCCATAAACTCATTTGTGTAAAAAGCTTTTTGTTTCACTGTATCCTTGTGTATCCTTGGCTGTGTGTGTATGTGTTCCCCATTGCGGTAAATGAATTTACGCTTGGCTCTGTCTCTTACCAAGTGTGTGTGTGTGTGTGCGAGGGTCGTTTTATGGTTGAATAGTTTTCGAAACTGCGGGGCTCGTTGGGGTTAAGACCCCAACAACGCCGAACAGGTGAACCAGAAATTAATTTCATGGATTCTCTGTTGTTTTTGGTGGTTTTTTTTTTGCGTCCTTATTTTTAATAGTGGCTAATATTTTGCTGGCAACTTTCTCTTTAGCCCTTTCACCTGTTGGCAAAATAATTTTCTATTAATTAAGCGCCCGACTGGAGACCGAGGGAGGGCTTTCATAAAATTAGCAAACACTTGCGGGATGGTGCCAGCTGTTGGTTGTTTAAAAAAACATATACATATACATATATATATGTATATATTCGATGAATGCATGTGCTTTTAAATACATACACATACTTGTACATATCCTTTGTGTGGGCTTGAAGCCCATTGTCAGTTAATTAACAGGCAGACTTTCGCTGGCTTGTTTGCCTTGTCAGCACCACGAGCTGTTCTCTTTAATTTGATTTACATACCACGCCTCCGCAAACAACAAACAGCAGCAGCCGCCATCAGCCACCACCCACCACCGAGCCACCGACCCATCGACCACCCACTCAAGGACAAACAATCGTACATTGATGAGGCAAGATTTCAGGCAGCTAACATAAAGCATAGTCTACTTATAAGGGCGTGGAGAAAACTTTAAAAAAAGTTAAAGAAAGGTGTCTATAAATGGAGGATGGACTTGCAAGTTATGGAATTAGTATAGGCTTTGGTATTATTTTAATAAATGCAAAATAGGTGAGCTAATTTTGGTGACCCCGATTTGAAGGAATTTTATATTATTTCTGTGGTTATTATTATGAATATATAGATTCTTATATATGTAGATCTTATGTAGCTTCACTGTCAGGTTATTTAAACTAAAAACCAAACAACAGTGACTGAAAAGCAACTCGAAGTTATAGAGATGGATCAGAGTACTTTGGTGACCCCGAAGTTGTAAGAAATAGATTCATACTTGCTTAAATCATAATTTCATTGAATGTTAGAATTGCTAAGCTCTAAAAAGCATACCCAATCATCTAAAACCTAAACAAAAATTGCTAAAAAGCATCTCAAACTTATTGAAATGAAAAAAATGGCTTTTGGTGACCCCGATATTTTAGAAATGATACTTTTCTTAGTTTACTCACCCAGTGATTGTATGTAATAGCTTCTCAGACTCACCCACTTACTAATTATTCAAGAAGCAACCAAAAATTACTAAAAAGCAACTGAAACTCATGGATAAACGACAAATAGTACTTTGGTGACCCCGATATTGAACAAAATTTGGTTTTACCAATTAATAACCTGCAGAAAGGCAATTAAAATGCCTTTAATTTATTCATACATTACTTTAAAGACCCACAACCAATAAATATCCCTTGAATACCGTTTAACAATTGATAATTTCTTGATTGTTGTTCAACTATTTGGTTTGACTTTATTTAAAATACCGCAAGCGAGAACTGTCAGGTAGAAGCTTAAACTTTGCCGAGAGCAAGCATCTCACATCCCGCTGTCATATCTGTCCCGATAATCAACCGCAATGTCAGCAGGCGGCGAAAGAGACGGCACAAGTCAGCCAGGAAGCGAGAGGGCAGATGCTTGGGGGAAAAGAGATGGCCAGATAGTGAGTGACAAGTGCAACCGCAGCGGCAGGAGCGG